CTGAGGAGAGAACAATGTTCATCAGTAAGTGTTGAGAAAGAAAGCTTTTTGAAATTTCTACTTAAGATTTCTGCTGTAATTTGACAGTCCCTTCTAAAACTCATGTTGAAATCTAATTGCAATTATAATAGTTTGAAGAAGTAGGAACTTTAGAAGGTGATTAGATCTTAAGCAGTTTGCCCTGTGAATGAAATAATGTTGTTATCACAGAAGTGGGTTAATTATGGCAAGAGTGGATTTCTGATTTTTAAGAAAGAATTAAGTTGGCCCTACTTTTCTCTCTCGGTCTCAGGCAAGCTCACTTGCCAGTTATGATTGAGTCTGAAGACCCTTACTGGATGTGGCTTCTCAGTCTTGGACTTTGCAGCCGCCAGAAACAAGATCCAAATAACCTATTGTTTTGGAGCTATTCAGATGGTGATCTTGGATTACAGAGGTAGAAAAGTGACTAAGACAATTTCAAACTGTTTTACCTCCTTTCTTACTTGCTGTAGACATCCTAGCCTTCATGCAACCTGTCACTGCCAGGGCAGACTTTCCCACTGTAGCCTTTCCGCGCGGCACTTCATCTTCATTGGACTGTCTCCCAGACTAGCTACCTAGTGTTTCTGCTTCAGTTCTTTGTTCAAATATCTCTGTAAACATTACCTTTCTGGATCAATGCCTTTAAAATTGCACTACCAAGACTGCCCCTACAATTTCCTAGCCCTTTCCTTTGTTCACTTTCCCTCCACTATATATTTCATAAGGGCAGAGCTTTGTTATTCTGTGCCCAGTGCCTAGAAGGGAAACTAGAACATAGTATGCATTTGATAATTTTGTGAAGTGATTGAACTGATTTTATGTAGTACAAATAGTGCATTCATTGGGCCAGGGAAGAGAATTTACCAAAGGTCTTGGCAGCAGGACTTTTCCCCGTTGAGACCTACTCTTTGTAGGGGTGGGGAGCTTCCAGTCCTGGGGCCATATAAGACCTGGGAAATTATTGGAATAATATGTATGATTCTTGTTGGCTTTCTGTAGCTCCTATGGCTTATCTGCCAATATTGATAATATTGCATGGCCTGCAAATGATGTTCCAAATATCCAAATGACCCTTGACAGAAAAAAGTTTCCCAATCCTGGATGCCAACAGGCCCCACAGAAAAGCAAGCAAACTCAAAAGAGCTTCCACATTTATAAAGCCGAGATCAAAAACTAAATGTGTAAAATGACTCTTTGCCTTCCTCTGGTTTTCTATAGTGAGGTATAAACAGAAGTCATGTTGTGTGGTTTATACTAGTTGGGTATGGAAAAAAGAACAAGGGAGAAATAAATGAAGACTTCACAATGAATGCAGGTAGATATGTCACTCAGACCTGTGAAGCTGCCCTTGTGGCCTTTGATTGTGAGTTGCTATCATCATGAAACATACCTTGGTTTCATGTTGAAAGGCTGATATAAAAAAGAAATTGGCATTTGGTCTGTCAGTTTAATGGAAATCCATTGAGATAGAGAACTAATTGGACCTAAGCCCATACTTCACACATTCTATAACTGAAAAAATCTGTCTTAGAGAGAGAAGCCACGCTGAATACATTAAATTTATACATCTCTATGAAGTTTTCTAAAAAATTTTTTTGGTCAGTCATATCCTTGAACTCTGGGCCTGGGCACTGTCCCTCAGCTCTTCAGCTCAAGGCTAGTGCTCTACCACTTGAGCCATAGTGCTACTTCTGGCTTTTTCTGTTTATTCAGTGCAGAGGAATCAAACCCAGGGCCTCATACATCCAAGGCAAGCACTCTACCACTGAGCCACCTTTCTAGCCTTCTATGAAGTTTTCATGGACTCATTTTAATCGTCCTTTATCCACAAACAATAGGGACTCACTGACACCCTGCTCTACTTGGACCTGTTGTTATTTTACACTCATGTATTTGTAACTCTTGTTTAATTTTATTCCTCCTGCTCAGAAAATAGAACAGCTGTTAAGCCCAACTTCCTGGCTGTTCTCTCAGCTTCCTTCTCCTTCTTGTCCTTCTACTCTATATCCATGTCATTGCTCTTAAAGCAATGATAAACATGTGAGAATCTTAACCCTTGTATACCCCTTAAAGGACATTTTTATTGGGGCTCAGGGAGTTAGTGATCTTAGATCCTGTATCCCTAAATATGAAAGTGTGACAAAAAATCTATTTCAAAAATAAAGGCAAGCTGTATCCCTGTGTGACTAGTAGTAGATAAACAGCTTTCTGCTTAATCCTAATGAGAATAAGCAAGTGGACACCAATACTTCGCTTTAGTATTTCACTAATGTAATCCCTTTCCCATACAGTGATACTATTCTGCAACCAATCTTTGAGTGCATTTGTCCATGTAGATGTATCTGTTTTCCTGGGACGTGAAGATTTCTTTTTTAATTCTGATGGTATTGAGGGACTTTTAGAAAATCCGTGTATGTGTTCAGGTGCAAGGAAGCATATGGAATATCTGTGCTTGGGGGAAGAATGCCTACAGTGAGGGATTTCTGCCCAAAAAGATCACTTCCTTCAACCGAAAGGGTTGAATTGCCAACAAAATATGGGAGCTAGAGGGTATTTAATCCAGAACTTTTCAACCCAGGCCTATTTCACTTGACCCCAGCATAACAGCTCAGTCCTGGTCAAGCCTTAGTTCTAGAGTTAGCTAAGAGCAGAAACCAAGGGTGAACTGGAGTCTCATATCAGCTTAATATATCCAGTTTGGGCCTGGATCATTCACTGATGTGGAGAAACTGGCCAGTCCCAAGAGTCTTAGGGTTAAATAGAAATCTGATTGTGCAGTAATTTCTGTGGAGACCAAAACATGGAATTGAGAATTAGAATCACAATGGTTTGGTTTGAAGATGGAAGATGTGAGACATGATAAGTCTACTTTACCAGATCTAAACTAAAGTTGGTGTAGCCAGGGACAATCTATGGGAAATCTGGCTAAGATTTCAGTTTGGGACAGAATTAGAATAAATAAAACCTCTGGAAAACTGATAAAAATGATTCTTCTCTGAATAATAAAATTAGCTTGGGGGAAGGATAATTGAAAGTGAACCATTTAAGTACCAAGGCTTCATAACCAAAGGGAAATGTGAAACATCTGATAAAGTTTACTTTATGCTGATAACCAAGGAAAGAACATTTTGTAATTTAAGGCCTATATCCCTCTATGGGTTCCTGGTATGCTGAGTAATGGCAGGATAGGGGTGGTTTAGGCAATAAAGGAGTCACATGAAGTAAAAATCATCCACATAGATTCTGAGAGGAAGAAGGGAATTGAGTATCTTTCCAGTCAATAACGGGCTTCAGAGAGAAATCAAAACAGCTAGGAAGAATAAGATACAGTAGGACATACTGTTACATGACTGTAATATCAGCACTCAGAAAGATCATAAGTTTGAGGCCAGCCTGGGCCACACAGTAAGACTCTGTGTCAAAAACAAAACAAAAAGAAAAAGATACAAAGAAGAAAGAATATATGAAGAATTACCCTTCTCTAGTTAGCCTGATCCTTCCTAGCCTCTCATTAAAACAGAAGTAAATCTTAGTTATTAGCATTTCCCTGGAAGATGAATGTTTTTTCCATTAAATTCTTTTAGTGCTATCCAAAAGTCTTCAGGAATGAAAAATGATACACATTGGTAGGATTAAAGCCTTCAGAAAGTCTAGCAAAAATATTTTTAGGTCTCAGATCTTCCAATAACATTCCAGTTTTATCTCAGAATTCTTTTATGTGTAGCAAAGATTTCATTGTATGCTAGTGACTGGAACTTTTTTTAAAGACACTGTATTCACTCAGCTTCTTTTAAAGACACTATATTCATTCAGCTTCTTTTATTGAAAGAAAACTCAGGGTGAATTTACCAAGACTTACATGGTATGGTCTTAGACCAGAACAGTTTCTGGAGAGAAAAGCTCTGTGGATATTCCTGATCTGAAAAAGAAGAATCCCACCAGTGGTAGAAATTTGTAGCAAAAAAAAATGTTTATTGATCCCTAAGATTGGCCCAATCAAAGGGCGTCAGATATCTTGCTAACACAAGCATGGGTTCTCTACAGTGGAGGTCTTCCCACTGGCCATTCTGACACCCTAAATGAGACTCATAGCTGTCCAGGGAGGAACCTGATATGACACGTCTGGCTTCTTTTCATATCCATCCCCTTCTCTGCTACCCTGTTATCTGGAAGAAACTGAGGGTGGCAGAATAGATTTTAAACTGTAGTTCAAAATCTATGTGAGACTACAATAAAAAATGTAAACAAATTTTAATCATTTCTAGAAAATTTTTCTTACCCAGATCCTGTTACACCTGATCTAGATGGACACGGGTTCATGTTCTATCAGTCCCTGCAGACCTATGTTTGTCTTTCAAAGTTGGGTTAACTGTTTACACTATGACATCAGCTGACTGCTGAATTCAAGGAAAGTTTTAGTTTGGAGTTTGGCTTTTTGATGCTAGGGTAAAAACAACTCATTCTAATTCCATCTCTCAGCGGAACCTAGAGGTCCCTTCCACAAAGCCAACAAAAATGTTAACTGTCTATGCCTCCAGACTGCCAACTTACAGGGTATTTGCTCCTCTTTATTCCCAGGTCTGTCATGGCACCAGGTACAAACTAGATGATCAGCAAAATGCCTTTTACTGCCTTTTCTTTTCTTTTTTAAGAATCCCTTTTGCCATTGCCCTTTTGAGACTAGGGGCATCACCTGAGAGTTGTTAGGAATACAACTTTGAAATATACAATATAATATCAACTACAGTCATCTTGCTGTGCAATAAATCACAAAAGTATGATTATTACTCAAAGTAATGAATATGCTAAATACCCTGATGGGATCATTATACATGTATTAATATATACACACAGATATAGTGAAACATCACACTGTACACCTTACTTATATAGATAGATATATAGATATAGATAGTGTAAGGTTTGCCAAAAGGAAATCACCACATGTTCAGGAAGAAAAAAGTTTATTTGGGGGAGAGCAAATTGCTTGAGATGGAGGTATGCAGAGAGAGAGGGGAAGGAAAAAGAGAAAACAAAGAGGAGACTTGTGTTGAGCTGGATTATATAGGGAAAGGTGGGAGGCTGGTGGAGCACAGAGATGTGGAAGTGATCTCAGAGCCTTGGGGCAGTCACACTGTCCAAGGGAGGTATGACTGGGGCAGTTCAGGAAGTGATCTCAGCAGATGAGGAAGTGACCTCAGAGTCTGGGGTTCTTTGCTGACTCACAGTCAGGTGATAGACAGATGATTACTGGTTTCAGGCCTGTGAAGAGGAAGAGGGGAAAGTGTCAATTTAAAACAAACTAAAAGAGAAGTAAACAAAGAAATGCTCATTTTCTTGATTCACCCTTTCTGGGATAAATTTATTGGAGAACCACTGGCCTTAGAGAAAGAGGAGATAAGCAGCTGCTTCTTTTTGCCCCATTGGAGCAAATGATGCAGCCCTAAGTTTTCACCTTTAGACACACCTTAGACATTTTTTTACTTAATCTGTACTTCCTCATTAGTTTTCCCAAACCCTGACCACAGTTTGCCCTCTGCCCACTTTAATCAACAAAACAAAACAACAAACCAAAACCCTAAGTAGTCAGAAAAACTAAACCAGTGATTTTTTTTTACCTTGCCAGCAGGTTGGAATCACCTAAAGAGTTCTCAAAATAAAAAAGCAACTGGAACTTCAGACCAATTAAATCAGAATCTCTGGGGGTTGTGGCCCTTTGTTGCTGTTGTTTTTAGTTCCTAGGGTAATCCCCAGAGCCAACAATCTGGTAGAGAATCAACACTCAGGACTCAAGTTAGTAGAGAGAGGCTGCCCTAAATTTTCTGCAGGGGGTGGGTGGATGGTATGGAAAGGGATGGGAAGGGGAAACAAAGGAGGAGGCAACAATGCTTGATAATAAATGTACTTGTTATCTTGCCCATGTAATTGTAATCCCTCTGTACAGTATTTTACAATAAAAAAAAAGAAAAGAAGCTAAACCCCAATATTGGTGTTTTGAGCATAAGGCATTTCTCTCTCCCTGTCTACATATGAGCATGGAAACAGATGTGTGAGTCACAGTACTAGACAGGTAGCCATGTAGCTGATGACCATCTAAGGTCTCCCAAGAGCAATAGGATATTGTCTACAATACTCTAAGGTGGCAAAGGTCTTCCCATATTTTGTCTTTTAGTCTCAATATGAAAGAAAATGCATGCATTCTGTAACTACTAACTACCCAGGATTCCTAGTCACAGAAATGCGGAGAGAAGATTCTGGCAAGTAACATATTTACTGGAGAACAAGTTTTCACTTTTAATCAGCATCCAGCTCTTTGTGTTGGCAAGCCAAATGAGCTGTGGGGCAGGTGAACTAGGTCATTGTTTCTGCTCAATGTTTCAGTGCAAAAGCAGCTTTCCCATCAAAGAATAGGTTTGCAAACCATGCCACTGATCCAGAATAAGCTCTTCAGCTCCTTCCCCAACACTGCCCAATGGGCATAAATGAATTAAGCTACAGCTTGGGGATATAGATGAGTAATCTCTCAACACTCTCTTGGAAAAGCTTCTGTGCCCTGTCCTGTATCCTGGTGGCCAATAAAACTCTCCTCTCCTGTCTTTGTAAGTCTGTAGGATTACAGCCTTACCTCCCACAACCCCACAGAGTTCTGTCATCCATGCATGCACACTGACCACCATCAGGTGTTCCTGTGCAATTGACACCATCCATTCCACCAAGGTCTCTAGAGCCTTACCTTCCATGGCCTCTGATTTGAAGCAGCACTTTCTATCCTCATTGCCAGAAAGCCTCACCAGGGCTTCTCTGTGCTCCCTCTGATAATCATAAGCAGAATTCATGAAATTCTTACAATCTACAATATATTCATATATCTTGTTCACATATCTATACCAGACATTTTTCATTTTATCATAATTGTCTATAATTGCTACTCCCTCAATAGACTATAGATTATTTGCAACTTATTTTTATTAAAAAATAAAAAGAGTCAGTCAAGTACATTGATATGCACCCGTAGTTTGGGATACTTGCAAGGCTGAGGTCAGTGTCCCTGAGGTTAAGAGTTCAAGGTCATCCTGAGCAACATAGGAAGACCCCATGTAAAGATAGAGTGTATATATGACGAACAAGAAAGAGAGAGATGGATAGATTCAGGGCCTCAAAGCACTTAACAACAGTAATAGTGGTATATTGTTTTGATTTAAATATATTCTAAAATCGTCTTGATTGATAGACTGGAATAAGGTGGAGAAAACTTAAGCCCAAATTAGAGATACACTAAGTATTCAGCAAGTCAAATGAATGGCATCTTCTGCAAAGGCAGAGGCTGTTAAGCAAAGTTGAAGACATGGTCAGTCATCCAGGGCAGCACATATCCATGAGAATAAAAAGTCACAAATGTCAACTATGTGGAATGGTAAATTTCTAGTGTGACTATACTTTTTTAAAAAGTAAAAAGAAATTGGTGATATTAACTTTAATGATATATTAAAGCCAGCTTATGTAAAATACTGTCAACCTATAATGAACACAAACATCAACATAGTTGGCATCCCTTCACTTTTTATGTTGGTAGCCTTTAGAATTTCAGGTGAATTTTATGCTTTCTGCCCATTTCTATTCAGACTAGTCACATTCAATCGCCCTATAGATATGTGTGGCTCATGGATATCATATTAGTCAATATAATCTAGAAAAAGTTAAAGCCCTTCTTCTAGGCCTCAGGGTAGGATGAGAGGAAACCAGGTACAAAAGGTCTTGTATGGGTATTCAGACTCAAGAAAATAAAGAAGCCACATTTTGAGAGGTTGAGCAAATCTTCATTAGAAAACTGAGGACTGCAGGTGGAATCTTGTCTCAAAGACCCACAGCCCCCTCGAATACACTTAACACTTGTAGAAAACTGAGACATGAGAGTAGGAGAGGAAAGAAAGAGCAGAGAAACAATATCAACAAACCAGATCAACTCCAATGGAGAGCTAAAGTGGGACACCATGATGACCAGAGGAGCGCCAGGAGACATGAGGCATGGTGTCATGGTGCCTGAGCTGGTCAGGGCCTAAATAGGGTCCCAATCAGGAGGCAGGGTCATAGGAAGCTTGAGAGTTCATGATCCAAGGCTGGCAGGTCCTGTAATCTATTGTCCATGTCCCTACCCCTGCCTCTAGGAATTCAGGAATGCGTATCACCTTGGAGATAGGACTTGACTTTCCTCCACCATTAAGACAAGATGGCACCAGTTAAACCTAATTCTCTATTATCACCAGAGGCCAAGATGGCACCAGTTAGACCCAATATTATTATTTCAAAGGTTCCTCAAAGGTAAAGACTGCCATTAATAAGGAGCTTGGGGTTCCCTGGGGCTCAGATCTGTGGGCACTTGGGGCCAGGTTTGGGCCCTAAGAGGGCCAACAGAATTAGAGGGGACAGAGTAGAGATTCCATATATTCTAAATAGCAAAACAGCCTTTTTAATGAGCCCTCCCCATTTGATGTTGATTTTATACCACTCATTTTCATTAACTGTGTGTTATTATGGGAGAATAATTTTCAAGTATTGCAGATAAATGAGCTGTCTGGAAAATTATGAGAGGCCCATTAATCCCAGTCTCATTGAAGGACTAAAGCTGAGGAAATAGATAATTTCTCCTTAAAAATCCCATTAGAAGCAGTATATAAGAGTTTCTAGTAGCAGAATGAGTAGTGACAGAGCAACTTGAAAACAAGAGGCAAGGCAGACTCAAACTTTTATGTGCAACAAGAAAAGTAACCTTGAACACTGAGTTCTCTGGAAAATGAAAGGAAATAGCAATCTCTCAAGATTTTTTCAAAAAACTTATTGCAAAATAACTAGTGTGAAAGCCTTTTAAGGAAAATGCTGTGCATTTAGGTCCTTTAAATTCCTCCCTGTGGTTCTTTCCTGACAAATAATGGAGGTATGTGGGAAAAGGAGGAGCCAGGGAAAGCAAGCAGAAAACAAATAGACCTGTCACTCCTTTAGAAAACAGTGGTAAGTGACAGGGATCGGATCTGGGGACTGACCACAAACAGGGTAGGGAGACCCTTACTCAGGAGACTTTTTCAAAGAAGAAGAATAGAAAGACTTATTGTTCCTGCAGAACTGTAATAAAACACTCTGCAAACTCTGCCCCTTAGCTCTGATTTACAGATTTATTCAAGAATGGGTAAATTCTTAGAAAGAGGAAAAAAAAATATATGTACAAATGGACAATTTAGATGGATTTCATTGTTAAAGAAAGTCACCCAATAAAACACTACTGTTGGGCTGGGAAGGTAGCTCAGTGGTAAAGTGCTTGCCTTGCATACATGAGGCCCTGGGTTCGATTCCTCAGCACTACATAAGCAAAAGTAAAAAAGCTGGAAGTGGTGCTGTGGCTCAAGTGGTAGAGCGCTAGCCTTGAGCTGAAGAGCTGAGGGACAGTGCCCAGGCCCAGAGTTCAGGCCCTACAACCGGACCCCCCCCCAAAAAAAAAACCACTACTGTTCTAGGTCCTAAACCATCCTTTTGCATTTCTAGCTAATAATCACAAAACATTTTTGTTAAAAAAAACTATCAAAATATTGAATGACTCTGAGTATTTTTAGTGATGGAAACTAAAAAAATATTATTGTCAAGGTGATTACAGAGGGGTTATAATTACATAAGTAAAGTAGTGATTACATTTATTGTCCATCTTGTTACCCCTTCCCTCATTTTTCTTCCTCTTTCCCTCATCTCTAATCCCCCCCAAGTTGTACAGATCATTTCCAACATATTCTCTTATGAGTATCGCTGTTGCATAGGTTCCCCATTTGTCCTTAGTGTCACCATTCTTTTGCTCCCCTTCCCTTGTCTAGTTCAGATAAATATATATACAATATATCCAGAGTACCAAAATTGAACACAGTAACAACAGGGGATAAACCATAGTGTGGAAAAACACAAAAGAAAAAGGAAATCTCATAGTACATTGAGAACAACAAAAACAAAGAAAAACCTCTTGTGTCCATGTCTTGGAGTTCATTTCACTTAGTATCATCATATATAGTCATATGTACATAGCTATTGAGCTATTCTGCTCATCTGCTAAGCTTATCCTAGATGTATACTAATTATTACAAATAAGGGAGACCATGGGATCTATGTTTCTTTGGGTCTGGCTTACTTCACTTAATATGATTTTTCCAAGTCCTTCCATTTCTTTACAAATGGGGCAGTGTCATTCTTTCTGATGGAAGCAGAGAATACCACATTTTCTTGATCCATTCCTCTTCTGAGGGGCATCAGGTTTGGTTCTATATCTTAGCTATGGTAAATAATGCTGTGATAAACATTGTGCTGGTAGTTATAGTGGGGCCTTGTTTGTGATCATTTGGATAAATGCCCAGAAATGGGATTGCTGGTTCATAGGGGAGCTCTATGTGTAGTCCTTTGAGGAATATGATGGAGACTTTTTATGTGTGCCAGTCCTAGGGCTTGAAATCAGGGCCTGGAGGCTGTCCTTGAGCTTCTTTTGCTCAAGGATAGCATTATACCACTTGAGCCACAGTACCATTTCTGTGGCTTTTTCTGCATAGTTTATTGAGATAAGGTCTCATGGACTTTCCTTCCTAGGCTGGCTTCAAACCTGAAGTCTTCAGCTCTCAGCCTCCTGAGTAACTAAGATTACAGGTGTGAGCCACCAGCACCCAGCTAGAGACTTTTAATTTATGTGCCTATTTGGTCATTTATTTCAAACTAAACCATAAAACTTCCATCAGAGTTGAAATCTGAGTGATTTAGAGCAAAACTGTCTATGTTAACCTGATTCTTTCCTCTCTCTCTCTTTCTAGCTTTCAGTGTGTGTGTGTGTGTGTGTGTGTGTGTGTGTGTGTGTGTGTGTGTGTCCTGGAGACTGAATCCAGGGCCTTGCATTTGGTAAGCATGAGCTCTACCCACTTAGCTACGCCCCTAAACCTATCTATTTTCTTGAGAGACTTAATTTAGAGCCAGATAAATATAAAAGACCAGACCAGTGTAAACAGCAGCCCAAAGGCCAATACTATAACAAAGAACCAAACTTGTTTTATAATATCTTCAAATAATGAGATGACTGAAGTTAGAAAAGGCCACTTAAATATATTAAGCAATTGAAAAACACATAGTTAATAATAAAGAATTTTGTCAGATAACAAGCCAGAAATCAAATAGGCTGGCTGACCTAGTGGAACTTAATTAAATAAAAACATGAAATGATCTCCTACTTTTTTTGAGAGGGGAAATAAAGAGACTCATTTGTAAAACTAGTCAGGGTCATAAGTATATAGGGCCCCAGCTGTTCAAATATTTTGTTGCCAAAAAAATTTACAGGAAGTCCTGTGGTCCTTATGGAGACAAAAGGCTCTCTTGGGGTTCATATTGGTACTCACTGGGCATCTGGACTGCACCATCCCCATTTTTTAGGAAATACCTGTGCCTTTGAGGTAGATACACGTCCATTTGATTGTTTATGCTTCTATTATTTCAAAAAAGCCATTTTTTTCTAACTGATAGTCTGGGAGAAGTTAGGTTAGTTCTGTTGCCCATCATCTGGCCCTCTGCTCAGGTCTGCTTTTACTGCATGCCAACAATACCTTCCACCAGGACCTTACCAGGAAGGTCAGAGGCCACAAACACTATTAATATTTTCCAATTCTTCTGGTAATTAATTGTTGTGGGAAAGCTTTCCTGGGCCTCTGATTCCTGAGGGGAAGTTAATAGTGTCACTTGCCAGTCACGTACTGGTGGTTCGCACCTATAAGCCTCGCTACACAGAAGGCTAAGACCTGGAGGCTCA